GGGTAATTGAGAACCTTACTGATTTGCTGAAGAACAGCGGGGAATCCTCGGATACCGTCAGCACTGGGCAGCCCGTGGTCGAGCCGGCGACCTGGAAATGAAGGAAGGGGGAAGGCAGGAGAAAGGGCTTTTGGAGACGGAGGCTCAGTATTTATTGGCGTCACTTTATTTTCTTCCGTGTTGTGGAGGACACACATGCTGGGCCATTTGGGTGACAACCAGCATACCTCCTTTATCTCACCCTTGAGATTCCAGGGCTAGCATCAGTGGGATGCCTCTGGTGTCATCAACAGGGCGGCCCTGGTCTTCCCTGTACTCTGCAGCTCCTCACCTACCCCTGACCTGAGCAGTCATCCTTCTATTGGGGAAGGTCGTCCTCTTCAACTGAGTGCACAGCATCGGGAAGGAGGACGTGGACACCTGCCTAGCTAGCCCAACCAGCCAGATCACAGGGTGACAGACGCCCTAGCGGCCTCCTGGTACTCTTACAGAACTGCAGTCCCATGCCAAGTGGATGCTTCTCCCAAATTTGCCACAGTACTGCTCTCGGCCATGAACTTGCGCTGAGATCATAACTGTCTTCCTGGATTCTCTAATAAGTGGGATCTGGACATCTTGACTAGGAGCCCTGGTGACGTCGTGGTAACATGTTGGGCCGCAATCCCCCAGGCTGACAGCCGCTCCAACAGAGAAAGAAGGGCTCTCAACTCCGTAAACTGTCACCGCCTCGGCCACTCACAGGGACAGTTGTTCCCAGTACAGGGTCGTGCTAAGTAGGCATCGTTTCTTGATTTTGGACATCTTGACTAGATGACAACTTTATGTAACAACTTCATATTGCTCTTGTACTCCATATACATGTGATCATCTTGAAGGGACTTGGTATGGATTAAATTGTGCTCCAAATATATATTATATTATTTATATATATATATATCATATATACTCGAGTATAAGCCAACCCAAATATTAGTCAAGACACCTAATTTCACCACAAAAACCACATAAAAAATGTGCTGACAAACTTGGCTTAGACACGAGTATATACGGTATGTGTGTGGATGTAATCTTATTTGGGAAAATGGCTTCCTTTTGTTCATAAGGCTGGATCGAAGTAGAATGGCTCCTAAGCCGTGCCCCGTCGGGGTCTTGCGAGGCTCAAGTGAAGTCCTAGTAGCAAATGCTAACTTCAGTGTCTGGCTCACAGGGTTCACTGTGGTTGTTAGGTGCCACCAAGTTGGTTCCAAGTGACAGCCCCTCAACGGACAACGGAATGAAGCACTGCCTGGATCTGTGCTGTCTTCACAAGTATCGTTGCTGCTTGAGACCCTGGTGGCAGCTGCTGTGTCACCTTCTTGAGGGCCTCCCTCCTTTTTAACCAAGCATGCTGTCCTGCTCTGGTCCCTCCTGATATCACACGTCCGCAGTATGTGAGATGAAGTTCTCGCTCTCCTTGCTCCTAAGGAGCAGTCCTTCTTCAAAGACTGTTCGTAGAGTGGCCTTCTGAGGAGCGGTACTTCTTCGAAGACAGATTGTTTGTTCTTCTGGCAGTCTAAGACACTTCAGGGATCTTTGCCCGCACCATCAATCTAGGGCACTACTTCTCTCATCTTCCTTATTCATGGCAGTTATTATACACGTGATCATGGAGGCCATCCCCTGCCTAAAATACCTCTGGTAGAGAGGCAATTCATATCACAACTGATTTCCCACCCATCCCCACCGGGCTGGGCCAGAGCACGCTCCTTTCTTCCTCACTAGTTAGATGCTTCCCATGTTTGGCACATGGATCAAGGAGGGATGGCACTGGAACTCTGCCAACTCTATCTTCTGACGCCCTGATTCTTGTAAGACCTACATACACACATTGTGGGAGATGATTAACCTCAAGGTGCCATCCTCCCACCCCAGCTGTGATTCATTTCGTTTTCTAAGATTGTCCCAGGTTGTTGGTTAAGGTGGGATCTACCTGGTGGGGGTGGGGCATGTGGTTCAGTGGCACAAATTCTACTTGTCACTTTTGAATATATAATGCTTCCTTGGATTTATCTATGAAGCAGAAAGGAAGTTCCCCAGATGACTGAAGATCGCCATGGTTACTGAGAGGGTAAGACTCCCAGCACGGACTGTGTGCTTATCATAAGAGAGCTGAAGTCCTTCTTCCCTCTGCCCCCAGCTCCCTTCCCTCTGCGCAGCTTCCCCAGCGCCTGCCTGGGCACGTCTCCTCATTGGAAGTGAAGGGACCGGGCTCACGGAGGGCACTCACCCCGGCTCTCCAGGCTGCTGCTGAGACGCCGTTCGGTGGTTTCCAGGAGTTGCTTGCATGTTTTCCAGAGCTGGCACTGGGAACACGCGAGGTCAAATGCAGCCATGGCAGGGGGGCTCAGGTCGTCTAGGACTTCTTTCAGGGGAGCAGTGGCCTCCACCAGGGTGCTGCTTATCCAGAAGTCCTCTTGGAGTGTGGGGATGGGGTCTCCAGAGGTGCTGAGTAGCTTGTCAGTCACATCCGATATGGAGTAGAATACCATGCCTGGAGACCCAACAGGGGGTTAAAAAGCAAAGGGTTAAAATGATTCCAACTACTGCTTTTCTGATGAGAGGCAGTGACAGGAGAAGCACTGTGAAGTTCTTCTGCCCAGGACACCTCATTTGCAGGACAATCTTTCAGCGTATCCCATCCTGATAGCCCACTTTTATGGCAGGAACATGATGACACGGACACCATGGGAAACACAGGGGCCATGGGAAACTTCAGACGGGGAGGGCTGAGGGGCCAGGCTGAGCAATACATTTGGAGTGGACCCGAGTGGAGTGCAGTAACAGAAAAGTCCTCTCCCAGTTAAATTGCTAAACAGGCCAGGCAGACAACTGTGTGTGTAGCAAGCGCTCACTTATATAAAAACCGAGAAGCTGTTTACGTATTCTGTAGACCTGGCAAAGGACGCTTCTGCGGGAGCCACAAGCATCTGGGGGGCAACGTGCAATGGTGAACCTGCACCATAGAGCCTAGACAAGTGAGCAGGGTGACAAGCTGGGGCAAGGGTCCACTTTCAGGACATCATGAAAAGATGAGCTTTGGAGCAAGACTGCCAGAGTTCAAAACAGATGCTCTGGTCAGAGATAGCAATGCAAAACGTTTTTACCACCTCTACCAAAGGAAAATAATACGCTTTATCTTTGAATAATTACATGGGAAGGAAATGAAATCGTAACCATTTCCTGAAGCCCATGGAAGTGCCCACCACACAACACAGTTCAAAATATCATTCACGCTCATCGGTTAAGTCACATGGCCCAAGCTCAGCGGCAGGTATGTGAACACCATGATCAAGGATGTTGGGCGCAGCTAGAAAGCCGTCACAACCATGCCAGGGTCCCTCTTCTTCCGAGCAGGTGTCATGCTTTGGATTTCAGCTCACGTTCATGCTGAGCCTGTGATTTGGGTGGTTCCTCCCTCTCTTTACAGTCCTCTCTCCGCTGCCTGACCATCTCTTGAGGCAGGAGAGCCTGACCTGCTGCCGCGGCACTGCCGATAGCCTGTAGAGTTGAGCGGCCACTGCCAGTCCTCCGAATGGTGCTGCTACCCCCATCTGAGCTCTGGCTCTCAATCTTGTGCTCTACTCGGGCTAGCTCCTGGATCACCTCCTGGTAGCGCTCCACGAACATCAGTTCTCCGGAGCTGGGCGAGGACTTGAGGTTGAACATGAACACCACCTGTCGTGGGGCAGAGAAGAGGGTGAGCTGGCCTGCCGTGTGTGCGCCGAGCCGGGGGAAGGTCTCGTGACATGAGATCTCATCCATGATTAGACTATGGCCTGAAGATCTCTGTTTGCAGGGTCTAGAGAGCTTTGGATTTTAGAAAAAAGGGTCAATTATAAAAAGAAATGCTGAATGTCAGTGAAGAAAACCAAAAAAGGCTCAGTAGAAAAGGGGCAGGAGATGTGGACAATGTAAAAGAGGAAGCATATACAATGACTACATCTACAAGGAGCCCTGGTTTAAGTGTTCGGCTGCTACTTAAAAGATGGAAGGTTCAAACCCACCAGCTGCTCCAGGCAGCAAAGAGCTGGTGATCTGCTCCCATCATGGGTACAGCCTGGGACACCTTCTGGGGCAGTCCTATTCTGTCATCTGGGGTCCCTGTGGGTTGTAATCAAATTGGGGGCACACAACCATATGAGGGGACTTCAAAAAGTTTGTGGAAAATTGAATGAAGAGATAATGGGATTATCTTTTGGAAAATTGTTTTCCTTCACCAGTAAGTGCAGGAATTGAAGTACCATTAACATTCTATTAAAAAACAACAACAACAAAAAAACCCATTCTATTGTACCTATCCCCATAATGAAGTGTGTACTCTCAAGGAATGGTCATCAGATTGTTATACTTGATGTTGAAAAGCAATTTGACAAGCTGTGGAGCTTTAAAAATATTTAAAAATATTTTATATTAAATATATTTATACCTATATTTTAATTTTATATTTATATTCAATATATTTAATAATGTTTATATTCTTTGATAGTTATTTTATGAGAAACTTTATTAAGGAAAAAATTCAAAAGACAACCCTTAAGGCCATCCTCTTGGCATGATTTCTTAAAAGGTTGAGACAAACTAACTACTCGGCCAACAGAGGATGGAAGGACATCCAGTAGAGGTTGTATGGTTAAGGGCAGTTACCCGATCAAACCGTCGTTAGAAAAACAAACAAAAACCCAAAGGCACTGCCTTTGAGTAGATTCTGACTCATAGTGAACCTATATATACAGGTTTAGTGAAACTTTAAGTCTTTACAGGAGTAGACAGCTTCCCCTTTCTCCTGAGGAGCAGCTGGTGGGTTTGAAATGCCAAACTTGTGGTTAGATGGACACAGTGACTGAAATAATGGGCTCAAACACACCAATTCTGAAGATGTTGTGGACTGGGCGGTATTTCATTCTATTGAACACGGGGTCACTATGAGCCAAAACCAACTCAACAGCACCTCACCACAACCACACACATAAAAGCCATATAGTGCTTCCAAAAAGACGGGCAATATTCTTAAGTTGACTCTGATTCAGTGACCCTATGGGACAGGGTCGAACTGCCCGTTGGGCTTTCACGGCTGCCATCTTTATGGTGGCACCTCACCAGGCTTTCCCTGATGGCTGTGCACCGTCCATCTTTGGTTAGCAGCTGAGTGCTAACCACTGTACCACCAGGGCTCTTGACAAGACAACATATGACATCTGCAATACTGGTTATTCTAGATAATGGGCTCAACGTTATTTTAGTTTCTTACTCCGTAACCAAGTTAAAAAGAATTTTTACTAAAACACTCCCATCACAACCCCCCCACCCCTCAAGAACAAGGCCCAAGGAGGCAAAGACGAGTAGAGGACTTTCATGAGCAATGCATCAGAGAGTTTCTCTGCCTACTTCCCCTGGATTTGGGCATAAACAAGACTGGCCAGGGTCTTAGCCTGCCCAGACCATCACAGTGACCAACAGTATCAGTAAAGTTGATAGGCTTTAAAAGGACCAGGGAAGCTAAGCAAGAATTACTTCATTACCTGCATTACTTCCTCAATAATTCATAAGATTTCTGACCTATGAATTAAGGGACGAGCAGGTGTTATATCATGTACCAAAGGTTGTAAACCTAAGAACGTAAGTCCAATAGGTTCTATGCTATTAAGTAACAGAAGATTATTGCATTTCTCAGAGGTTTTCTATAATCCTCTTAACATTCCTGTGAGAAAGGAGAATCAGGCATTGTATTTAATTACAATTTGCAGATGAGGACAGACGTTTAGAGCTAAGAGGCTTTCTGACTTCTATCCCAGTACTAGTTTTCCTATACAACATGAACATGGCCAGTTTTCCATCTTCCAATACTTTAATATCCTGAACTGACACCCTACTTATTATTACAAATGACATCGGCTTTTTAGCTACCTGAGAAACCCTGGTGGCACTTCTGGACTGTGACCACAGGGTCGGTGGTTTCAATCCATCAGCTGCCGTGAGGGAGGAAGTTGTAGCAATCTGCTCCCACAAAGACCTAGAGCATCGGAACAGCTCTACAGGGTCTCTGTGCACTGGGACTGACTTGCTGGCAATGGGTGTTGGTGGCTCTTGTTTTTCCCCCAGCTATCTGAAAAGACCCATGTTCAGAGGGGGAGAACAAAGAAAGAGACACAAATATTTTATTTTTTTTCAGAGTGGTGGGATTGTCGCTGAATAGGATCGGGTTGCGGCATACCACGTGCTCCTGAGTGGCACTGGATGACTTTGCCTTTGAGCTTCATCCAAGGCCTACCGGGCAACAGCATTCTGGGGGCTGACTTACCCTCCTGTACAATGACATGGTACAGCCTAGGCTCTTTCACTGTCTGATACCTCACCTGGTGGGCTTCCGCAAAGTTCCCACGGAGGATGCAGGAGGCCAGCAGTGACTCGGGTGGGGAGAACATCATGGGGATGAGTGAACTCTGAGGCTGGGGCTGCAACCGGCCCTCCAGCTCGTTCCGCCCAGACACAGTGCTCAGACTCCCCTCTGTTGGGACACAAGCATGTGGGAGCCATGGAAGCCATGCTAACAGAAGAGAAACGATCCCGTTCTCACCTCCCACCAAACTCTTTCCTCATCAAAGTCCTTCTCTGGAAGGCCTGCAAATGGGCTTGCTGTTTTCTTCAAACAGAGGACAAACCAATGCTCTTCTCTTTGAATGCAGGACTGTGAGTACCCATGGCTTCCTGGGCCTCACACCCGTTGCTCTCTGCTGAGGGGAGCCCCACTCCAGTGAGAGCCATTTCCCCTTTCTCAGCTGAACCCTGCGCGGCTGTTTGCAGAACCAAGATGAGCGTCTCTGAGCCAGGCAGAGCTGCTTCAAGCTGGCAGCTAGTTGTCGTCATCCATACCTGAAGTGCTGGTGCTCAGCTCACTGCTCGTGTTTTCCAGGGATGGGTTGGAACCTCTATCCCGGCCATCTAGAGGTATTAAGAAGGGACAAAATTAGTCATCAGCTCCTTAAGGTGAAGGAAGTACAGAGTCAGCCTGAGAGCCAAGGTCTACAGTGTCTGCAGCTGAGAAGACCATAGCGACCGTGACACCTGCTGCTTCTCCGACAGCCACATGGTGAAGTTCCTAGCGTGAAAAGAAAAGAGTCCCCTTCATTTGTAGAGAGCATCTTATAACCCAACAAGAAAGATGAAACCACAGGAAAACTGGGCATTGAGCATGAATGGGAACCCCACAGGAAAGGACAAGTCGCCTTAAGTACATGAAAAGATAACTTCAAAAGTAATACTGAAGTAATAATGTACTGTTTTCCACATATGGATCAGAAAAGATTTAGGAAAATCTGACACACTCATTGTCCATGAAGGTAGGCGCCAATAGGCATGCCTATACAAGTGGTGGGGATACAAATGGTTCAATTTGTTATTATCTATGTTTGATATCTGTGCATTGTCGACCTCAAAATTTTACTGCTGGAAACACATCCTACAGATGTACTCACAGGAGTCTGGATGGGGGGATGGGCAGGCTCAAATGACACTGGATTACTAAGCAGTCTTTGAGACAATTGAGCAAAAAGTTAAGTTCTCACTAAATTACACATCTCTAATATATTAAAGGGTATAACTGAAAATGCAAATTGTAGTTCTCAATATCTGTTATGATACAACTCTGTAGATGAAAGAGCAATCTACGCTTGTTGGACCACATGGACGTTTTCTGGGAGGGTTTCTGAGAAGCTGTTCTCAGGAGTTACGGGGAGTTGAAATAGGATCACCCCAGACCACTTTTGTTTGTTTTGACCACTTGCTTATGTTCAAACACTATTAAGACAGGTGACAATATCCTGCTGGCCTTGTGCGTGGGACAAGATGTGGGGAGGGTACTCTTGAGCTTACCTGCCCGGCTTCTTCTTGGCCGACGAGCCCTGCGGAGACTGGGGTTCCGTGTGGGAACAGGGTGGTGGTGCCTTCGGGAGGGTGTCAGGTGAGCCTCTGAGAAAGCAAACCCTATAGGGTCATATAGGCGAGGGCCTATGTTGCTTTGACCCTCTTCCTAGGGCAACAGTAGAAAGGGAAGTGCAGGTCTGGCTCCAGTACACGGGGCCGAAGCTCAGTGTTCTGACATACGCTGCTATACCGATGTGCAATTAACTATGGGGGACTCTCACGCATGCCTGGCTTTTCCCTGGGCTCCTGGGGGATCCGTTCCCTCCCCACTGTCTGCACTGTGTGTGTGTGTGTGGGGGGGGGGGTGGTAGGGCTCCCTTTCTCACCGGCGCTCTGGTTGCTGGTTACCACTTTGTATCTCCACTGGGCCTCAGAGAGAACCTTGGAAAGCCGGTGCAGGCGGCCCGGCAGCCCGTCTCTGCTTCCCGGGCAGCCCGGCCCTTCCAGCAGCTTGGGTTTCTCAAGGGTCATGTGGCTGCCGATCTCATCTAGCCGCTCCTGGAGAAGCCGGAGGAAGGCTCCTACGGCGAATTCATCCGCTAGGAAGCCACTGAGCCCAGCAGTAAGGTGTGTCAGGTCCAGAAAGCTGTGCCCGGGAGGACCTTTTGGCTCTGCCGTCACACAGCTTGGAAGGGGATCCGCAAGGCTTCTGGGGATCCCCAGAGAGCCCCGTTCTGACCTCCTCTCGGGCTGAGCTGTGTGTTGCGGGCTCTCTGAGGGGGACCTCAACCCCAAGGACCCCATCCTCTCAACGTCCTCCTCCGCGTAATCCTCAGGCAAGTGAGGCTCGGCATGAAGATCGGATGAGGTGACAAGGAGCAACGAGAAGATGTTTTCCAGAAGTTCCAGGCACAAAGGGTCGGGAATACTGCACAGGTACTGTTGACACCTGGCCAGGTATGTGGAGAAGAGCCCGGAAGCACCTAAACCCGGGAGCATGAACACGAGAGGAAGCCGGAGAAAGAAGAGAGAGAAGCAACTGTTAGAAGCTTTACTTCCCAGATGTGAACATCTGCGCAACTCTCTTTGGTACTTGAGGATGACGCCATGTACTGGGGTAACAGACAGGAGCAAGAGAGAGGTTGTGGCCCAGGGACAGCTCAGCTGTGTCTCTTTGTAGAAAACTCTCACTCAAAGTGCAGCTGATTGCAACTTGCCATTTGGGGACAACTTGTTTAGTGTTATGTTACTTTCTATCGCTTGACAAGGACTCCATAGTGCAGTTCCTGGAATTTAAGCACTGTACTCACCCCTCATTCTATGTTCATGCTTTGGTACCCAAACACTCACCACTGGCTAGTCAAGGCTCCTGAGACATACTCAGGAGGTGACGCATGACCATGCTCAGAGGTCAAGGTCTATTTCAAAGCCAGAGAGAGAGAGAGCACTGACCACTAGCCACCGAAGGCAAGTGATGGGATGATAAGTCATCAAGAAAAAGGAGAGAAAAAGAAGATTTCAGGTTGGTATGTTTCACATCGCCACCTGACAACCATGAGATTGATCTCAGAACATGAAAATCATCAATAGTGTTTTCCCTCCTTCAGGGCCAACAGAGAAAGAGTGCTTTCCATAAGAGCTGATGCCCTGAATCCAAGCTTCTAGCCTCCCAACGGTATGAAAATAAATTTCTGTTATAGCAAAAAACAAACAACAACAACAACAACAAAACCCAAACAAAACAAGTGTTCTCCCTCAGCAGGGTAAGTATTGCATCTTAAGACTCGGTTTCAGTTTATGTATCACATACGAGGGGGTATCTCCCCCAAAAAACCCAGAATTTTTTTTCAAAGGTAAGTATTTAAATTTGTTTTATAAAACAACCTTATTGCCTTCAAAGTACTCTCCATGATACTTAATACACTTGTCAAATGTGTGATTCCATTCTTGGAAACATTTTTCAAACTCATCTCTTTGGATGGCTGACAGCAACTCCTTTGTTTTTTTTCTTCACCTCTCCTACTTCATCAAATCACTGTTTTTTCACGTCCCTCTTCATTCGTGGAAACAAAAAGAAGTTGCATGGAGCGAGGTCAGGTGGGTAAGGTGCCTGGGGCAAGAGAGGCATGCTAGTTTTTTGCCAAAACCTGGTGCACTGAGATGGCTGTGTGAGTAGGTGCATTGTTGTGGTGGCAAAACCAGTCTGCCACAAACCAGCCTTTTTTATCACATTGTTAGGCAGTCTTTTCAGAACCTTAAAATAGAAAGCTTGATTAACAATCAGAGCTGGTGGAATGAACTCCAGATGCACTATGACTTTGTCCATTCAGGAAGTTGATGGACGTCCAGAACGAGGTCTGTCATCAATCGACATTTCACTTTTTTTTTTTTCAGGCTTGAATTTTTAAAATTTTATGTACAAATAGTTGGCATCGCTTCTTCTTTTGGGTAGCGGTCTTGGATTGTCCATCCAAAGATAACTTAGTCCAGCTTGATGACGGCACATATTGAGGCCGAATTTCCGGATTAGACCATGCCAGTTTGAGCACATGCGGCAAGAACGGAAGCCCTCGCCGAATTTTCGCAGGTGGCTCCAGTAGAGCTGTTGGTGACCCATCTTGTTTCCAGGCTCCCTCTGAGGCAAAAGGAACGAAGCCCATTTCACCTTTTTTAAAATGAGAAAAACCACTTGTACACTTGAGTTTTCCCCATAGCACTGTCCTTGTAAGCTGTGTTCAACATCACAACAGTTTCTGCAGTATTTTTCCCGAGCAGGAAACAAAATTTCACAGCCACATGCTGTTCTCTTAAATCAGCAATCACAAAAAATGAGGTTCAAGTGAAACTGCTTTTATGAAAAAATTCACTGTGACCTCAGAGAACCTTCCCAGACACCACTAGGTGCACTAACTCAGAGGGAGTTGCTCAAGGCTGGCCAGCGGGGGAAAATACTAACTAAGAAAGCTCTGCTCTGCCCAGTGTGAGTTCGGTTTCTGGTTTCTTTTGGGTACCCCCTCGTATGTAGAAACTCCCAGGGTCTTTCCATTCTCTTTTTTCCACAGACTTTTTGAAGTCCCCCGCCCCCCGTACACATATACTTGTATGTAAGTGCTCTCAAATCATGGCTCATCCAGGTGAAGCTGTGATGTTATATGAAAGGTTTTCTTTTCTTTTGTTTAAAATATCATTTTATTGCAGGCTTATACAACTCTTATCACAATCCATCCATCCATCACGTCAAGCACATTTGTACATTTGTTGCCATCATCATTCTCAAAACATTTGCTTTCTACCTGAGCCCTTGGTATCAGCTCATCCCCTCACACACCCCTTGATAATTTATAAATTATTATTATTATTTTGGTTCACACTGTCTGATGTCTCCCTTCACCCATTTTTGTTATCCATCCCTCAGGGAAGGGGTTATATGTAGATCACTGTGAATGGTTCCCTCTTTCTACCGCACCTTCCCCTTACCCTCTAGTATCACTACTCTCATTATTGGTCCCGAGGGGGTTATCTGTCCTGGATTCCCTGTGTTTCTAGCTCTTATCTGTATCCATGTACATGCTCTGGTCTAGCCGGTTTTGTAAGGTAGAATTAGGGTCATGTTAGTAGGGGGAGGAAGCATTAAGGAAATAGAGAATGAAAGTTGTATGTTTCATCGGTGCTATACTGCACCCTGACTGGCTCGTCTTCTCCCTGCGACCCTACTGTAAGGGGATGTCCAGTTGCCTACAGATGGGCTTTGGGTCTGCACTCCATACTCCTCCTCATTCACAATATGATTTTTTGTTCTTTGATGCCTGATACCTGATCCTATTGACACCGCGTGATCACATAGGCTGGTGTGCTTCTTCAATGTGGGATTTGTTGCATCTCAGCTAGATGGCCACTTGTTTATCTTCAAGCCTTTAAGATCCCAGATGCACTATCAGCTTTCTTCACCACATTTGCTTATGCATCTGCTTTGTCTTCAGTGATCGTGTCGGGAAGGTGAGTGAGCATCATGGAACACCAATTTAATAGAACAAAGTGTTCTTGCATTGAGGGAGTATTTGAGTAGAGGCCCAATGTCCATTTGCTACCTTAATACTAAACCTATAAATATATGCACATAGATATATTTCTCCATCGTCAAATATAAATATATTTACATATGTACATGCCTGTGTTTAGATCTCTGTAAATGCCCTCCTAGTTCTTTTCTCTATTTCTGTGAAAGGTTTTTCTTGTTGTAGTTAAAAAGTATTTAGAAAATACTGCACAAGATGATCAAACTCCATTAGAATTTAGGCTCATCACTTACTTTCTCAACAGCCCCATTGATTCAGAGAAACCGGGAAATGGGTGAAGTCATCCTGGGTACAATAAGAACAAGCCCACTCTGAAGCCTGGTGGAACTCGCTGGGGCAGGTGGTTAGCTGGGAGCTCATGCAGGGACAGGGAAGGGGCACGAGAGCTGTACCTGTGGAGGAGGGCAAGTTGTTCACTGGCTCAGAGGTCGAGGCCAGGTCCTCAGAGGCACCCTCTCGGCAGTCGTGGCACTGAGAGTGCTGGTGTGAATTCACACAGAGGGCATAGATGGCATACTTCATGGCACAGAAGCCCTGGTAGAGTGTCAGACTCTGACTCTGGCCTAGGTGGTCAGGGACCGGGCCATCAGCTACATCTGAATCGCAGAGAGAAACAGGCAGAACTTCAGAGCTGGTTCTTCTAAGCATGACCTGAGAGTATGGCTGAAGTCCACAGATACTGCTCTGGTGGGCAGACCAAGTATTCTCCTTCCCCCTCCCGTCTATCCACGTGAGATGCCATTTCCAGGCCTTTCCTCTACTCAATATCGCTTTTCCCCAAACTCACTGCCATTAGTTGATTCTGACTCATAGTGACCCTATAGTACAGGGTAGAACTTCCCCCATGGGTTTCTATGACTCTAAATCTTTATAGTGGCTGGTAGTTTAGAACTGCTGACCTTGTGGTTAGCAGCCCAACACTCAACGCATAACCCCTTACGCTACCAGGGCGCATGTATCACCTGTCAGTACCCTTCATTTATTTTTCCACCTTAACCTCTACATGTCTATTCAACACGGGCCCCATGGCCATTCAACAAGCCACTTCCTTATTGCGGAGTTAACTTTATCAGGGAATTTGGGCCTTGTCCTTCCTTGCCTCCTAAGAGATAACCTCTAGAACCCAATTGTGAGGCCCCAGCCCACACTGAGGGTTCATGCGAATGAGGTGACTCTGGTGATGTCAGCAGTCTGGAGGACCCTGCCCAGTGTGCTCCAGAGCGTGGGTCAGGGGAAGAAGTCCCCTACCTCAGCTGGTGACAGAGAAGTGAAAAGTAGGGACTTGATATTTCCTCTCACTTAAGGAGCCCTGGTGACATAGTGGTTGGGTCTTGGCCTTCGATCCAAAAGGTCATCAGTTGGAAACCATCAGCTGTTTCCCAGGAGAAAGAAGGGGCTTTCCACTCCCGGAGAGAACTACAGTCTCAGAAACCCACGGGGGAGCTCTTCCCTGTTTCATAGCGTCACTATGGGTCAGTATTGACTTGCAGGCAGTGAATTTTAAACATCTGATCGTTTTAAGAAAGCCCGGAAGCAGAGATTAGGGGAAAACCCCAAACTCTGTTGGAATCCTTTATACTTGTTTTCCAGTTGAGAATTGCTCGTTTTGGATTTTAGTGAGGAGGGAGGGCAGTGTTATCTTGACAGTGCCCAAGTCTCCTCATAGTCTTAATCCTCCCTGGACAAAAGTCCCACCTGCGCAATAAAGAAAAAACACTACATGTAGTAAAGATGGCTGCATATGGTTCCACTGAACACGTACCCAGCTGCTTACTGAACCACATTGCCTATTGTGGGCCCCGGCTGAGTTAGAGATACTTTGCTAGTAGCATGTTGTAATAAACCTGTTTATATATAAGATTTCATAACGGTTGCTTCTTCTAGGAAGCTCAGCCTTGCCAGGCTCAAGGTATTAAAAAGAACGCAATCAATATTGTTCTACGACCCTGACTTCTACCTGGCTTTACTGCTCAGGCCAGGACTGGTCAGCTACTGCATGACCCCAAGAGCACATGCTCCCTGTAATTCTGCACGCCGGATGCCTCTTGGATGACCCTAATGTCGACTCTACAGCTGTTTCTCTTTTGCCTTTTCAAAGCTCACGTTGTGGTGGGCCAACAGGAGTCAGATTTAAAATCTGCATTTGGAAGGCTTTGTTCCTTGTATCTCCGGCTCCAGTTCCTCTATGTAAGCTGATAAGCAAGTTGCCTACCTTTCCAGAAAAGCAATAACAAGATAGGGAAATTAGTAACGCTGGCTTTCCAATTCACTAATAAATAAAAGCAACACTACTAATTCAAGGAATCAACATTAGCAAATTCAATTTACTAATAAATCAGAGCACCACTCAGGCTGGGAAGCCCCGCTGCCCAGGGAGAATGTTGGTGTGGCTGGCGGTGGAGATGTTATGATACCCTGGTTTATTGGTGCAATAGAGTATGATGAGATGTGGAGGGAGCATGAAATGTGAAGCATGGAAGAAGCAAACCAACCGGTGTGATCCAAGGACTGTAAATAATAAAATCCAAATCCGAAGATGGGAATGGTATATCAGAAGCTCAAGTTGTGAACACCTGGTGTGCGGAAGGGTATGGATAACAGTAGAAGCCCAAACCCATTTTCAGGGTCCCCACATAGATTAACCTGCCTGGCATTACGGTAATCTTGAGTGTGGCTCGGGGTAAATGCTAACTGTCAGAAGCGGTAACCCCGAGCCACACTCGGGATTACACTGCAGAGAAGTCCCTTAACAAAATTACTGACATAATCAGACCCCCAGGGAAGTTAAGCTTCCAATGAATACCCGATGATCACAGTCCAGGGCTGTAAATCACCTTGCTGTCAGAGTGCACTGTAAAGTCGATGATGGCAGATGTGGTTACGTTAAAATGTAATACCTTTTCATTTGATCTTCCTTTTGACCCATTCTAAAGTTGTTTCTGATTTTAACATTTCCTGCTTTCTTTTTGATTGAGGTTTACCTGTTCTGTTTAGCCATTTTTTGTTTGCTTGCTTATCTGCTTCCTGTTTATATTTTGTATGATTATATATGAAAACCAGGATAGATCTATATAGAGAGTAACTGGATTGATAATCGCCTAGGGGCATGGCATGGAGTGCAAAGGGGGCAATGGGGAGAGTATGAGAAAATGTTTAGAAATTGGTTGTGGTGATGATTTCTCAAATCTTCTATGATTGAACAATTAAACTGTATGGCAAATGAGGTTATCTGTCAATAAACTATTAAAAAAATGAGACTTGAATTCTCACCAAAAATTTCTGTAAGTATGACAGTGCCCATGCTATGAATTCAGGAGGCAGTTACCAACTGCTACCTTGTATATTACTGGTTTCTGAGCTGTTTCATGAGGACAAGGGCAAGGGAAATGTGCTCTTGGTATTCCCCATGACTCACCAAGAAAAAGGAGAAATGCTCCCGCATCCCCCAATCTGACTGAAGCCAACAAAGCTAACTTGGTGGACAACAACTTGTTATATCCCGGACATCACATCTAGATACATCTTATGCTGGAAGGAATGGGCCAGGGCATCTTGCCCAAGCCACGCCATCACCAACTCACCGAGCTCTTGCTGGGGGTCCTTGGCTGGCACCTTCTGTAACAGCTTGAGAACATCGTCCTCCCTGAGCGCTGGAAGGTTGGTCAGGTGATGGACAGAGTAGAGCACTGAGTGGCTGTCTCCACCATGCAAATGACACAAGAGATCTCTCTCCGGAATAGGGCTGCTGAAAGAGAAAGTGGAGAGGATAGTGGTGGGGAAGGGGGTTGGTATTATTGCCCTAGAAGGTAATCTCCATTCCCTCTTGCTCTTTCTCTCTGGCCCACGGCATCAGAGGTCACACCTCCTGGATCTGGATTGTAGTTGGTCTGAGATGGAACATGTCATTTATTTACCCTGCAGGAAGTACATCCATGAACTTAGCTCTACTGATTCTAGAAAGGGTCTTTTGGGTGAGCAGGGCCTAGAAAGGACCTGCAGATTAAGCTTCTTAATATCTACAGTCCTTCTAGTCTAGAGCTGACAGGATCTTCTCTGGTTTTACTTTGGGTACATGGGCTTCCCCCGTCCACTCTGCTTTAGGAAGTGCTGGTCAGGTGGGTGAGAGATCAAAAATCAGCACCTAGATTTAGGGAAACACAGGGCCTGGCACACTTCCCAAGAAGCATCTGTTCACACAAGGCCAAGAGGGTAGGCCCCCATTTATTATCTGTAGCCCTTTGGGCAAGTTACTAGCATCTCTGGTTTTAGCTGTCCCCACTTCAAATTGAGGATAATCTCAACTTCTATCCAAATGGGATATCATGAGGCTTCAGTGAAACCATCCATGGGAAGGGCATACAGCAATACCTGGCCGAGACTAAGTGCTCAGGATTTGTGAGTACTTGTTCTTTTTATCATCAGCATCTTCCAGGAGCCTCCTGTTTATCACCTTGTGGCTACAGGGAGGCTAATCATTACCTGCATTTCTTGCCTACATTAGTAGCTGAAATAATTATGAGCTGCCAGTCAACATTGTCAACCATAAACATTACAGGTGACAGATGTCTTGAAGTGCCCTAGAAGCTAATCTCCAGCATGTCCAAGCGTGAAAGGGAGTAGACTGCATGTGGCCTTACCTCCTCTGCTGACCACACCACTCCAGGACCTCCAGGTGAGTCCACAACCCATCACAGGCTTCCCTGAGGAGCTTGTCGCAACCTTGATCCTGTGTGGAAGAGGGAGACGAAAGAGATGCTGACTCAGGCATGTGGGGTCAGAGATTGTGACCAACTTCAGGACCTTATCTTTTGCCTAAGCTCAGAGCCCCACAGCATTCCTTTCTGGGGCAGCCCAGGTTGTACAGACAGAGTCACCTGAGTCCTGTGGAGTGTGTGCAGCAGCCTCTTAGCAGACTCCAGGCTCTGGCAGTGGGTCCAGCCCAGAAGCATGAGCAGCCGACTGAGGGGCCTGAATTCTCCATCTAGCAGGCAGCCAAGGCTGGGGAAGTCTTCCTCTTTCAGTAGCCTTAGTGCTGTCACCTGTAAGCCAAAAGAGGTGGCTGTAGGCAGCTGTGTGGACTAGGAAGGACGAATTCCAGTTTGTTGATCATCGGGGTGAAAAGCTCTCTGCTTTAGCAGGGAGGTTTCTAACAATCACATAGTACAAGAAATGGTCATGAAAACACTTGAGTGTAAGTCCCTGGAAACCAGGGACTGGGTCCTGCTGAAACCCCAGCTCTTAGTATCGTGCACAGTACAGAGGATGGGTGCTGGTGGCGCAGTGGCTTATGAGTGGGCTATCTACCAGGTCAGTAATTGGAAACCACCAGCTGCTCCTTGGGAGAAAGATGACGCTTTCTGTTTCTGTAAAGATTTATAGCCTTGAAAACACACAGGGGACGTTCTGCTCTGTCTTATAGGGTCGCTGTGAGCTAGAGTTGACTGGACGGCAGTGAGTTTAGCTTACGAAGCTCAGCTGTCATAATGGAAGGGAAAGGCCACAGTAATGCCACTCCCTTTGTGGCAAGGCAGCATGCTGCTGCCACTGTCACTTTCTTCCTCACCCCCTCTCAACAGCTTAAACACGTCCAGCATTTTCATTCTGGCCAAAGGATTCAGCCACAAGGACCATCCTTCCAACTAGACTCATGCTGGCTCTCAGACTCTTCTTGTCCAGGGAGTGCGGGATGGATGGAACCAAGGGGCTCACCACTGACTGGGTGTCTTTGGGTTGGATAAAGGAATAGAGCAGAAAGGAGCAAATGAGAAAGCCTGGTGAGACCTCTTGGGGACTTCTGAGGGCGAGTCACGGGGCTGGCCTTACCAGGATCTGCTCTAGGAAGTGCTTGCTGTGGCTCAGGCAGTAGAAATATGTCATTTTCCAAGCCTCGGCTGGGTTGGGATTGGAGAACAGGGCTAGCATTGCCCGCTCGGGATCCAGGGAGGCTGGAAATCAAAGCAGAGATGGGGTTACCAGCAAGTCAGGAGCCCTTTTATCCTAAGCTTTCACTGCCACTGAGTCTATTCCAACTCATATGACCGACCATGGAGTCCGGTCTGTGGACAGACAGCTGTCCCTAGGGGTTTCTGAGGCCATCAATCTCTACCAGAGCAGGCAGCTTCAACTTGCACCTGAGGAGTGGCTGGGGTGGAGGGTGGGGGCAAGGGGGATGGGTTGTGATTAGCGGCCCAACTCCTAACGGATGTGAATCTGTGATTTTAAACACTTGAACTGTGTTTTCTATGCTTTTTATTGACTCAGAGAAACTTCTGAGAGGTTGGGTGTATCGGAATTATCAAATTCCAATAGATAGATCCCGGAGATGAGCTGCCTGAGGCCCCCTCCCCAAGTATGTATTGGAATCCTAACCGGTGGATGTGACCCCATTTGAAAGAGGGTTTGTGATATTGATGAGGCATGTCAGTATGGGGATGTGCCCTCAACTCCATCCCTCCTGAGTGATGAAAAGGGCAGATGTGACACAGAAGCTGGGTGAAGACAGGTAGCACTTGACCACCACCAAGGACCAGCAGGCTACAGAAGCGTAGAGACAAGGGTCTGCTCCCTAAAGCTGATGGAGAGCCCCTTCTCAGAGAGCCGGTGCCTTGGATTGGAAACCACTAGAGGTACCGGGGGAACGTGGTGGTATAGCCGGTCATCCACGGGGCAGCGAACAGCAAGGCCAGCCCCTCTGGAAGAGAGAGGAGGCTGTCTACTCCCATAAAGGGTTACAGCTGCATAAACCCACAGGGCCCCTGTTCTGAATCTGTGTCTCCTCTTGAAAGGCACCACTTGGGTCTTTCTGTGACAGCAGCACTAAGAACCGCATGAAGGCAGCCAAGGACGTCCGGAGAAGCAGGCGAGGAAACGCACCTTTCCCTGAGGCTGTGGCCCCCGGTGGCTTTTCAATGGCCTTCTCTGCGTAGGTATGGCCGTACAGGGACAGCAGGCCTCTCCCGGCCTTGTGGAGCAGGCAGCTCAGCAGCCGCTCCTCCTGCAGGGGACTCCCATCAGCCCTACAGGCCTCCAGCAGGCCATCACACAGGAGGCGCCACTCCGTCCTGGGGGATTCGGCAGGCCAGTGCAGAGTCTGCAGGGCTCTGTAGATGGCGTCTGCTAGCCCCGGTGGCCCAGCATCAGGGCCCTGCAACGCCTTCAGTGCCCTGTGAATGAGGTCCACCAAGGTTTTCTGCAGAGACCAGCCTCCGAGGCCGGTGCTGTCATACTCCTGAAGCAGGAGCTCCAGCAGGGCCTGCGCCGGCCGGGGAGCCTGCCTCAGAAGATCCCAGAGTGCGGAGACAGCTTTGGCGCTGAGCTGAGGGGCCCATCTCCTTCCATCAGGCCCGGGGTCTACTGCACCTCGTGCTAAGACCTCATAGAGCTCCTAAACAGAGAGCAAAGAGAGGGATGGTGGGCGGTGAGCAATTCTAGAATGTTAGTATTTGCAGACCTTGATGTTTTCCTCTTTTTTTTTTTGCCTACATTTATTAATAGTAGCAGTTGCAAATACATCTGTAGTAGTTACTTACTGTGTGTCACTTACTGTTCTCTTTGCACAGAAAAAAATGCAACGAGTCATTACATTATCCTTAAGAAGAAGACACTACTTTTGCCCTTGTTTTACAAGTGAGAAAGTGAGGCAAAGAGAGATGAAAGCAGTTGCCTAAGCCCACATCCAAGTTCAAGCTCGTTCTACTTTGCTGCCTCTACAATGTACACTGTTGATTTAGATCAGGGGATCCACGCTCCACACGAGGCAGGTACCAAACAGACATGAGATGTTATGCCCATCTAACAGTATTTGAGTTTAGTTTTATTTTTAGAACATGGCGTACCAGCTGTTTAACTTCTGTTTTACCCCAGAGGCTAGCCATACGTTAAGGTCTAGCTCATGGTGAGCTCTTCTTTATAAGCGGCCCCAATACCTCCAGCCTCACAACCTTCCCTCTTTCCTGAGCTTTCTGTGTTCTTAAAATTAGTAGCCAATGGGTAAGTGACACGCTTGGTGACTGCCTCAAAGGGCTGAAACATAACAGTGATCTTGAGGATGGCTCAGGATCTGTTGTTGTTGTTGTTAGGTGCCAGTGAGTGGGTTCCAACCCATAGCAACCCTGTGCACAACAGAACAAAACACTGCCCACTCCTGTGCTACCCTCACCATGGTCCCTATTTTCGAGCCTGCTGTTACAGGCATTGTCAGTTCATCTCGTTGATGGCCTTCCTCTTTTTCGCTGCCCCTCTGCTCTACCGGAACGATATCCTTCTCCAGGAACCAGTCTCTCCTGATGTGTTCCACGTACGTAAGATGAAGTCTCTCTGTCGTTGTGAGTTGGAACCCACTCGACAGCACCTAAGAAGATGGCTGAGTATCGAGTTGTCCTTCTCCCGCCTGGGCTGGAAGTGCCTTAAGGCAGAAATCTCCAAAGTGCTCCTTCCTTGGAAGGGAAGTAGGTGATAGACCACACTTTGGCACTGTGTCGACAGAGGGTGCTCAGGATTGCCTTTCACTCACTGCCTCAGAGATGGATCACAAAACCCTGCTTCCCTGACAAGTGACAGATCCTAGCTTATGTTCCTGGAAATATATCTTTCATCGACAGGTGGCAGGGTCATGAAGGAAACAAGTGTTGACTCACAGGGAATCCTCATTCACTTCAGTAGTAAGTGGTATGTGCCACACGGATACTTAGTTTGAATCTGTGCTGGGAGGTTGCTATGGAACTAACCTTAACATTTCCTGTTATCGAAGAGGCATTCAACAACTATGCATACATATGAATTCAATTCCCTTCTCACATTTCCTACCATCTATAGGTGGAAGATTCAAATGCCTGGCTTGAATCACTTTATACACCCCTTATACAAGAAATGGAGAAAAACATTTTTTCAATCCCCAACTATAATTAGTACTGCTGGACAACTCTCTTCTAAGAATTTCAAAGACCAGATAAGCTTATCCTGAGTCTACACTCCCCTTTGAGGGGTCTCTATCTAGCCTGGTCTTGCTTGAGAATGAAATTCAATCAAGATCTTTGGGCCTCGACTCTGCTGAGTCCCTGGAAGCTGAGTTGGTTGAGTGACTGCAAACGTTGGCAGAGGTCTCCAGGAGGGCCCTCTCTTACCTTTAGAATGTCCTCTGGAATGTCACCTGGTAGGTCTTCTGACAATAAAAGAAACTCCAGCCTTTTCCAGAAACCCGCTGGGGGTACTTTCTAGACAAGTCATAAGAAGAGGATGTGGAGATTAGAGATAGGCTTTCTTTAACAAATTGGAAGTAAGAGTTCTCTCCAGTTAGTCTTATTTTTACTATTTCTCTGAAATAAAGTACTCTTCTCCACTGAATTCCTGGATATACTTTTAGATATTTCTCTTTATCAACAAAAACACATGGACTCAGAGCTTAAATATTGGCATTGGAAAGCACCAATTGGCCTCAAACTCCGAGATTTACTTATTGCACATGACTTCTCCTGGTCTGGACAGGACCCTTTTTTGCCCCAAAGCTCTGTTTTCATTATTTCGTATCCTTTGTACAGCAGTTGGAGAAGAAAAGAAAAAGGATTAGGGATCTATTAAACACTTAATCTGGGCCAAGTATTGTGTATCACATTTCAATGTTTTTAAAATCATATCTAATTTTTTGCAGTCTCTTGGTGGCTAAAATGGTTATAGGCTTCATAACCAGTGCTTGAAGCCTATCCCGGGGTGCTACCTCCTCCAATGAATGACCATTAATCAATTCTTTTACAGTAATGGTGTGTTTTCTTCCATCTTCTTTTGATGCTTTCTTCATTGTTCTATATTTTGCCCATAGAATTCTTAGCTATTGCATTTAAGACTTGATTTTTCCCCCCTCATTTCTTTCAGCTTGAGAGATTCGGCGTGTGTGCTCCCTTTTAGGTTTTCTAAGGTTTGCACATTTTTGCACATTTCATGATGGTGCTTTACTGTGTCTCCTCAAGCTTCCCCTTTAAATCTCCCTTTCAGCCCATCTACTGCACCATTTCCTTTGCTGGCTTTAGCTCCTCTACATCCAAAAGCAAGTTTTCAGAGTCTTTTCTGGCATCTGCTTTAGAAATAGTTTAGAAATTCTGAAATATACAGAAGAGCGTCACGAAATTCATGGAAAATGGAAGGAGAAAATAATGGAAAATTTCCACGAACTTTTTGAAGCCTCCTCTTAGAAGTAAGCAAACTTATTAGTTAGTGGGGGGCTTCAAAAAGTTTGGGAGAAATTTTCCATCTTTCTAACTTTTAAAATTATTTTCCACTTCAATTTTTCAACAATATTTTTGACGTTCTCATATGTATACGTATATATAACTTTTGAAGTCCTTGTATGCATTTAAATATTACAACTAAATAAGAACTATTAGTATTTGTCTACGGCCATCTGATCAGTTTCTAAACATGTATCTATGCATGCAGAGCAAAGGTACTGTTTTTAAACTGCTCTCTCCACCTCCAGCCCCATCTACAGAGTAGAGGATACTGTTCACTATTTTCTATAGGTTGGTGAGTTAGTTTATGGTGCCAACCTGGCCGATAAACACGTGGGGTTAATTGAAGGGGGGAGAGATAAATGGCTCTGTGAGTCTTGACTTCCTAGTTCTCGGGACTCTTGCTTTCTGATGGTTGGACCAGGGTGCAGCTGGCTTAGCCAGTTCCCAGGTTCAGCTGGCAAGGCTCACTTCCTGCAAGACATCCCTGAGGAGAAGCCACATGGACCTACCCCGATGCAGCCCTGGGTGCTGGAGCAGCCGTGTGGA